TGTTCCCATGAGGTGCCAACCTTGCATGCTACAAATGTCATGTAGCTGCTGCTGTTACAGGACTTCTTGCTTCAGGTTTTGAGTTTCTCACTGTACCCAAACTACAGGACAAGGAATAGGTGTCTTCTGGTTTGGATCTGACCTAAAGCAAAAGCAGGCAGTATCTTCTGATCATCAGAGCTCAGAGGGCTCCAGTTCCAGTTTTGATCTTTTTATTATTTATTTATTCCTCATGTACACTTAATCATTTCTACCTGATGTTAAAGATCCCTTGTGTCATCTGAAACCTACTGAAAACAAACTGAAATGTGGCTAATAAATACATACATGCACGAGTACTGCCTCATGACTGCCTGCTCCTACCTGATTATTGCAGGGACTCCAAATTGCATGCTGGTGAAATGTATTTAAACATGAATATCAATTTAAGGCTTCAGTTCTGATCACGCTAGATGACTCTTAACAACCATGACCAACCTCTCCTCAAATCATTACCATTCGTATAGCCACAAAAGGCAAACTTGATGAGAGAATGAGAAGCTAGTAGGGTCTCAGGCTAAGCATACAACAGTGGGATAGCTATAAATGAACCTTTTCAACCATAAATTACATGTGGCCAGTAATTCCCTTTTCTCCCTCTCTCCCTCCCTCTCCATCCTCCCCCTCCACTCTGAAAACCCTGGGACAAAGGCTTGCCTCTCTGAAGGATGCCTTTCTGGAGGATTAAGCAGCTTTTGTTGACAAAATACAAATTACAACTCCTTTGCTTGGTGTCCCGCCTTCTCAGCTGGGCTCCAGTCCCTGAGGGACAAGGCTCTATTACCCCTGCGTAGATGAAGAGCTCAGAATAGGCAGATGTAATTATTAACACCATTCAATGGAGTGTCTTTCTGAATTATCAATTAAAAATCTCTACTGTTTTTCCCTTGCCCTAAATAGAAAGCTGATGGCAGTTAATCTATTGTGCAGCAGAGTTTTAGATGCATATTTAAACAGAGTGCTTCTCTGCCTTTTCATCCCAAGGGCAGTGCAGGGTGAGAGGTAGCACATGAGGTAGCACAAAGACCCTTGTCATTTGATTGAGAGAAGAGTCTTTGGAAAAATATTGTCGCCTTCCACCCTTGCAAACAGGTCCCGTGGAGATAGCCAAACAGGCCTGAGATGCCCAATATTGTGGGAGATGACAAATGGGAGTTCCCTGCTCATACACCAAAGTGCATCTAAACAGCTCTTTTGACATGCTGCTATTAAAATGCAGAGTTCATGGGCAACAGACACATGAGCATGAAGTGAAAACAGAAATGAAGCAATGATGTGATTAAAACCAACAGCCACGCTGAGCCAGGCTGCCAAGAGCTGTCAGCTTTTGGCTGAGGGAGAAGGCTGATGCACTAGGTTTTGGGGAAGGGGATGCGAGGATGGCTCAGGAGCAGGAGGAGATCATAGGTAGAGTTTTGTTAACTCTCCTGCTGACCTGCAAGTATGTGCCCAACTCTCACAGGAATAAAGGTCCTTTCAAACTTCCTTAGAAATCTTGTTTCAATACTACTGAGACCTTCAAACTTTCCATCAGTGGTACCAGGGTGTTGGGCTACCACTTGTATTTGACAGCACCAAAGCCCAGTCCAAACATCTCCAAAAATACTAATTTTCTTCTTAGAGTTTTCCTTTTCATTTTTATTTGTGAGCAACTTCTGTCCAGTCACAGAATTGAGCCAATTGCTTGAACAGAGCAAACTCCTGATTAATGGGTATATTATATTGAATTTTTTCCATCTTGTGTGTGCTGTGCATGTTGCCCTTTTTACACAGCTGGGATTCCCACCTAATCCATGAGTAGACTGAGATGTTTTTAAACATTGGAAAAGTGGCATTATGCACAGCAGGAATTTCAGTTCAATAGTTTCAGTTTCCAAAGTGGCATCAACTAAAAAAACCACCCAAATAAAGACAAAACAAGCAAAGTTTGTGACTATTTCTGGACTTGGGGAAGTAGAGTTAAAAATGCTCTATCAGACAGAAAAAAATAATAGCTGCTGAGGAACTGGAAAGCATTCGGGGCTGGACATGTGCCTTCTGCCGTTTAGGAGCTTATTTTATTAGCACTTAAGACCTAGAAGTAGCATTGAACTCTTGACATGTTGGATCATTTCCATCTATTGCCTAATACAACCCCTATTCGCTTTTCCTAGCTCTTCAGAGTTGTGATTACCTGATAGCATGCAATACCTGGGATGTAATCTTTTTCCCTTTTTTTCTTTGTAATGATATGACTCCCCTTGCCCCCAGAAAGCTGGCAGACCATAATGGATCCTAATGCACATGCGAGCATTTCCACGCTGCACTGCTCTGCTCTAAAGCCTTTCTCCAAGATGAATAGCATTTGAACTTTGTCCAATATTTCTTATGTGGTATGTGCCCTTTATTTACTCCATTGTGTATATCTCACTCCATTTAAAATATTCACAGTTTGTTTTCAGTCCTATCTGGCTGGCCTTCAGTCTGGGTTTAACAAATGTTAGACGTTATATTCACTTGCATGTTTCGGGTTTTGTCATGAACCAGAAGGGGAAGAAAAGGAATTAAATAAAAGTTGCCTGCACCATGATTTAAATAACATGCTCAGATCCTTTATTTTTTTGTTGTAAATGCCTTCATCTCTTAGCCTTATAAGGTGCAGACTGTCTCACACTGAACTCTAGCTGGGTGGCCTCAGTCAGCCAACAGCCCCGCAAGCTCATCCTATTAAAGTCATTATGTTTACTTCTTATTTCAACAAACCAACCTGGATTTTGAGGCGGGAAAAGGGAAGAAATCTTAAGTCCATTTGAGAGTGAAAGGGTGTGAAATCAATTGCTAATAAGCTGCAAAATGGGAGCTTTCTTCATTTGCTGCTAAAAATGCCTCTTTTGCTACTGGTGAGGGCTGTTACTTTCTGTATAAAATCTAAGGAACCAATTAGTTCATAGGCAAGAGATGAAAAATAGGGATTGCTGGAAACCAGAGCAATTTCATATCTGAGCACCACCATTCAGAGCACTTTTCACCAGACCTCTAGTCCTACTCCCATAAGGAGAGTGAGTAGCTCCATGAATAACACTGATGAACATTGAAATGCTCTTTGCTGGTTGGGAAAACTGAGGCACGGACCCTTACTTCAACAGATAGCTGCTGGACAAGTTGGGAAGCAGACTCATGTGAAGAGAAGAGCTCTCATGAAGAGAAGAACATACTCATGCACTGGAGAAGGGCTTGAGGCCTATGTCCACCAACAAGTAGCACATCTCACGCTGGGACCACAACTTTGCCACGTTGCCATGTAGACGTAGTAAGACTGATCCTTCTCCCAGGATATTGCAGTCTCCAAATCAGAAAGAAAGGACAAGAAACTGAAGACGACAGCCTTGAGGCTAAAAGTACCAATGCGAAGGAAAATGGGTGGTTGGCTGTGTAAAGGGGAATGAAGTAATGAAAACAAAGAAACATCGGTTCCTAGTACAGTGCTCTGGTTCCTGCACTGGACTCACTGTCCTCCCTCTGTCACTGAGTGGCTACATCACCATGTCACTTCATTTCCTCATAGCAGCACCTACATGCTCTCTTGGGCAGGAATGGGCTCCTGAGCAAGTCAGTGAAGAAAGGAGCTCTCAGCAGAATGGCCCCTGGGAACTCTTGTCTTGCAATCAAAAAGCCACGAGTGAACACTGTAATCCCTCCTTAGCTGGACACAGCCCCAGCTCCCTGTGATTTTCCTGGGGTGGTCATCGTTCCTGATTTCCTTCCTGTCCCCTGATAAATAGGACAGTAAAAGGGGGACTGAGAGAGTAGCCTTGATGAAGTGCCTAAGTACATTCCAGAGATACTGGGCACTACAAGGGCTTTTCATGTTCAGCCAGTGAGTAACACAAGAACCAGTAAGAAGAAGCTCAGCCTGGAAGTTAAGGGCAAACAAATTCACAGGGGAAATAAAGCATGTAAAAAACAATTAAAACAGCAAGGCTGATTAACCCTCAGCACAAACTATGGAGGGCAGCAAGGCATTTTCAAATGAATACTGAATGCCTTGGGGAGGTGATTTCCAGAAGACTTCCCCAGCTGAGCAAATGGATCTTCTTGAGTTTACAATCCCCCGAACTCTTTATTGGGGAGTTTTATTTTTATAAGATCAGTCCTATCAGTTGCATGGCAAGAAATGTCAGCACTCACCCAGCAGTTCACAGGAGGACTTTTATCCTTTTGTGTCTCACAAATGTCTCCGTGCCCAGGGAGAAAGAAAAGAGGGGAGGGAGTGCTGGAGTGACTCACTCTGTAGAGCTGGAGAAAAGTCCCACTAACTGCCTGGTGGAAGGCTGCACCCTGCCAATGCTTGCAGCCATGAAGAATTGCTTAGCAAGCTCTTATGAGACGAAATGGCAAACCAGCAAATGCAAATGTGTGAGCTGGATAAACAAAACCATCCCAAATGAAGAGCTGGGAAAAGGGATCCAGGCTGCTCCATCCCAGGGATGTTGACTCCATTCCTCCTCAGCAGCAGGATCTGGCCTGAGGCTGTGCAGGGAAGCTCCAGCTTGCTTGTGAAGAGGCTTTGTAGCCACCCTGTAGCTGGGAGGAATGTGCTCAAAGACAGTGCAAGTCCCAGCACTTCTGCAGCCTGGAGTGAATATTGATGTGCTGTTTGTAACCACATTAAGAGCCATGACCTCATGCCTTTGCCCTGTGGAGGAGCTGCCCATCACTCACCCATTTGACAACTAGGTTAACAGATAGTTTTCTTGAGGTCCTTGTGGGCAGAGCTCAGCAAAGGTCTGGTGCTCCGTAGCCAGGCTCATCCACTCTGTCCCACAGCTTTCAGAAAGCATGAGCTGAATTTGGTGCCTCAGGAGCCTGGTGTTGCACTTTTCTTTTGGTGTTGGGCTACATACCCATGTTCATGCTGCACACAGATTGATGAACCTCTGCGATTGTTTCAGAAGAGCTAATTCTTCATCTTGTGTTTGTAGATGAGGTAGCTCCTGTTTCCTTTGTGCAGAGACATCGCTCCAGCTGTCCACAGCTTGCTCAGTGACCCAGGAAAATATATCCTAAATCACAATGCTTGGTACAATAGTCCATCCTTCAAGTAATCGTGTGAGCATATAGGCCTGTGTCATTCTGTGACGCCAGGGACTCTGAGGATTGATGCTACCTGCACTGTAACTCAAGGAACAGGTACTTATGGTGGAGGAAGAGAAAGGATGAATGTTTAAACCTGGTTAGTGACTCATATGAGTGGCAAAAGGAAAGAGATGTCAGAGATCTTGAAGTGCTCATCGTGGGTGTTTGATATACATAACAAAATTTCATCTTTTATGTGCAAAGATGTTGTGCTAGCCTTAGTTTATCATTGCCACTTGTGTGAACTTTTCCTTTAAGACCTGGGCTCAGGACTCAGATGTGGGGTGTGTATGTGTGGTGATTTTTGTCTTGGTGTCTGGACGCTCTAAAAGCACCAGAACTTGGTTTCCTATAACAACCTGACAAACAGCAAGGCTCAGAGGTGTGCAACATTAGTCCTTCTCCAAGAGCAGGAGGGGTCTGAGACTGACACAATGAACAGCCCAACATTTTACTTGGGAAGACCACTTTGAATCCAGGCTACTTTATTCAGGATTGAATCTGATCTTCTGGGGCCTGGGGACCATTCCTTTTATAGGAAGGGGAGTTTGCTGCAGTCTCAGTCTGGCTGGCAACTCACTCCCTGTGCTGCTGTTTACATGGCAGCTTTAGGATTCAGACTCCACCACTGCTTGAGATGAATCCAGGTTGTGCATTTCTTGGTTGCAGCCATTTCATCCCACATTTGCAAGCCAGGAGCATCATTGCATCACACCATTACAGTGGTGTGAGCAATCGGTAATGGACTCAGTTCTCAGGGTTCCCACAACTTGCTGCTGTTCATACACAGGGTTTTTATTAATATGCACAGACAGGTCTGTGTTTACACTCCGTCCTGTGACAGAGGCACATGTACAAACTGTGTCCTGCCTCCGCACCTAACTCCAGACTACATTTTCCCCACATCAACTGAGCATTTTTGGAGTATCACTTATATTCCAACCCCATGGTCTAACCCCTGAGATGGGCCTTTACATCCAAGAGACTTGTTTGGAAATGTAAAAGTCATACCTTTATGATCTGAACCACCATCTGAGCATCAGCCTCACACACATGAGTATTGCTCTGCAATGTTAATGCCTAGAAGCTTCTTATTTATTTATTTTCAACTGAAAGATAAATTTTCATACACATCTCTTTATTTTCACCCTCTTTGCAGCAGCTGGTGGGTCTTTAGTTAAGACACAGAACACTGAAAGACCTGTAGTAAGATCATGACATTTTTGTCCGCACGTACCTGGGAAAGTGTCTGGCTAAACAAAAATCCCTCGCCTCTATGAATTTTTATGACTGTTTTCCTATGGGCAACTACACAAGAATTCACCTTTTAATGAAAACAAAAATACAGGCAGCTGCTGAGAAGAAGAGGGTGAGAATATGAGCCACGATGCTTTCATTTTTAGAATTCAAATTAGTAAATCTGTTGCTAACTCCTCAACCATCTCATGATCTTTTAAGATGATCTCAGGATTCTGCAAAGCTTTATCTATAATTTTTCACTTATGGAGTGATGTGAACCCTGAAAACACCCAGGTTATGACAGCACCCAATGAGCACATTAAACAGGTTTCCTTGCTATTGCATTCAGTGGTTTCCTTTGCGTACACACATTTTTTTGTCAGAATCAGACCATTCATGTCAAAGAGATTGGAGACAGAAAACAACTTTCAGTATGGGTGATGGAAAAATGACTATGCTAACGCCGCCAGCATTTGCCACTTCTCTTTCCAAGTGACTGAGACTTTCCAGAGACAGAGAGTACCCTCGCCCTGTAGAGAAACAGCTTCTTTATCCAGACATATGTGGTAAATCGAAAAGAATAGTTACATTGCCTAGAAGGCTGCAGATCAAGTGACACAAGCCTTGACTGTGCAGCTTCTCTCCCATGTGTGCTCCCATCCAGGGCCTGAAGTGAGTTTTTTTCCCCCTCATAAATGCTTTGCTAGTTCACTGGCACCTGTGTGTGTACAACTGAACACAGGCAAGCTTTTAATCATAGAGTGTCACGTTTGGGACCTCTACCGCTCCATTAACTTGACTTTTAATTTAGAGGGAAGGCTGTTGTGTTTATGATTTATCCTAGTCAATTTCCAAAGCCTTCAGTCCCTGAACTCTTCCTAGGAGGCACTTTGCATGATATTTACTGAAGGAGATTGGCCAAGGTCAGGCAATCACTATTATTGTGGCTGCATGCATGTAGTTTTCATTAGAAAAGAAAATATCTGTTTAATTTTCCTATCATTAATTCTTGGATCATTACATGTGTCATTGGCTAGAGGGGTGCTTGCCATGTGTTGTTTCATGCTAGTCTTGAATAGTTTGGGCAATACGGCACAGTAAAGTTTTGTCTGATCCTCTACTGGCAGAGTGGGACAAGGAAGGGTGAGGTGTTGGTTCAGCCTCCTGTGACTCCCCCAAAGCATCTTGTCATTGCAAAGAGCATAAGGCTTTTCAAACTTCCTGTTGCAGTCCTGTGGAAGTGAAGCCATGGCGTTTCAGCACGGCCTTCATCTTTCCAATATCTGTAGGATGAGTTAAGGTTGCACTCTGGAAACCAAGCTATGTAAAGAAGCGTAGAACAGCTTCAACCATTGAGATGCTCACACTGGGTATCACACTTGGGAAAGCAGGAGTCTTTACAGCCAGGCTTAGCTTTCCAGCAGAAAATTGAACCAGATGGTACATGTTTGGAGTAAATTGTAGTAGCAGCAAAGACCCCACAGTAAAAGCTCTGGTGACAGCATATGAACTCTCCTGGGACTATGCGATTCACTCACAGGGTCATTGCTAAAGCCAGCATCACCATATTGTCAGTGCTGTTGTTAACAGCCTGACTAGACTGAGCTATCATGACTGCAGTCACACCTTTTGCTGGGTCGACAGTCCCAAATTCATTTCCTTTGTGGATAAGACAGAAAGAATAGCTTATAAACACACAAAGATCAGTGCTCCACCTAAAAGAAGAAACATCCTTTTCCTGAAAATAATACAGCCTAATTACACAGATTTGCAGTTATTATAGCATAGCATAAATGATGCATTATAAGAGCACAGAAACACTGTGACTGCATAAAAACCCTGGTAGCACATTATCCTGTTTCCGAGCCTTGGCCTGTAGCAGATGCCTAAGAAAGATTCATCAATTTGTGCTTCAGAGACTTCCTCAGCCTGGTTGCATCTTAGCAAATACGTAATGCCAGAATAGTCACAAATACATGGCTGGGGGAAAAATGGATTTCCAATTGCTAAAAAAGTCAAAAGTCATTTGATTCCAATGAGTCAAGAGGTGAAGATAATAGGTATAAAGTCAAAGAAAACTTGGGGTTTTCATTGGGTTGTAGGTGGGTTGTAGGCATAGCTGAGGATCTGCAGTGGAGCCAGAACATTAACTACGCTGCTGGAAATGGGAAATGGCACCAAGAGCTGCAGCCCAGCAGGACATCTCCTACAGCTTTGGGAGACATCTCTGCAAGGGCGAAAGGTCCAAGTGAACCAGTGGAAAAGTTGTGTTGTGTTTGAGTTTGACAATTCAACTCCTTCTCAAGTCACCTCAGAGTGCCATATGAGGAACCTCATCCATCTAGGTGAATGTAATTTAGCTGCTTCTTGCACTCGGTGATCTTTCACATTAAGATTTTCAGCTTTAAACTCAAGCATGTTGGCCCTTTTTTTTAATTGCATCTCTTGGGCCAAAGCTCCACTCCTTGTCTCTAAACAACATTACTAAGAGCTGGTGAAATGCATTGATCCTCCTCGGTTGTCTGTAGCTGTAGCCATATACGATCCGATGAGCCAAAATAAACACAAACTGGGCAACTTTTCCAAGCATGAAAACACCTCATTTGTCGAACCTCCAGGTCTCAAAGACGCTTTGTCCATTTTTACTTCAAACTTTCCAGAAAGAAAAGCCTGTTCTTCCAGAAGATCATGGATGTAAAATTCCAGATGGATTGTTACAGACTTTGAAAATTAGGGAAAAAAACTTGCCTGAGACTAGGAAATTACTGTAACACAAATACTGCTTTGGACCACTGTCCCTCCTCAAAATACTCCCCAATATAGCAGCGTTAGTCAATATGATGTGTTCAGTAGCTTGAATAAACCTGCGAAGTGGTGGTATTTTCAGGATTTAATGATACAAATTGCGTTTCAGTGTAATAGAAACACTGAATGCAGTATGTTACACTGAAATAAAGCAGTTTACTGAATCAGAAAGCATTCAGTGGGGTTTGGCTAGAGATTTAGAGTCAAGCATTTAGAAAACCTGAGCTTTTTCATGCACTGTAATATTACTTAGTTGGCAAGAGACTCTTTAAACCCTCATTAGCAAGATTGCTGATTTGGCAGCAATGAAATGCATCTGTTTATGAGTAAAACCTCACATTATATTCCTCTGCTCTTCTTTTTTGCCCTTTTTCATTAAGTACTTCTCTCTAGAGCCATCCCACTACTGCTCTCCTCTGATAACCCACTGGCCCTTCTAAATGCAGGACTTCCTGCAGGTGACAAATGGCTTCTTCCAAAGGTCATTAGTTACACACAGCTTTGAAACTGGCCACAGTATGATTCCATCTCCTTTCCCATTTTAGTGATTTAACATTTCAGGCAACAGCCAAGCCAAGACTAGTATCTGACACTCGTGTGTGGGAGGAGGTTTTCCCTAGAGGTGTTTTATAAATTTTGCTTGTTTATTTTTCTTTAGGTCTTTAACAGTCCATGCTCCTCATTGTGATGAATGTTTGTGCTGAAGTTCGACATCTGAGTTCTGTGTTCAGGGGTATCAAATGAGCTATTATTTGCTTTGCCCGATTATGAGAGTACTGCATAAGGAAATTCACCCACACATGAAATCTGGATCTTTTGATGGCAGCTTGCCGTGGGTTCAGTCTTCCCTCCACTTTGTGGAAAGGTGGTAGAAGTGAAATGTATCCATCAAAAAGCCTTTGAGAGGGATATTCTCTCTCCTAGAGCAA